TATTTATATTTTTTACTATTTCTTTCATTCATTTATTAGCATTATACATCCCTTTCTCTTCCTTCTCTTCCCTATACATTTTTCTCATTCCCTGAATTTTCTCCTCTCTTTTCCTAACCTAATTCATAAAATGCATACAAATACACAAAGTGCAGTGGACGTGGTCAATGAATAATGTAAAAATAATTAAAAGTTTAAAAATACAAATTTCATAAACCTTCCTCTTTTGGAACTAAAGGTTTCAGATTTGGGTTCCAATTCCTAGAAGGATGACAGCAACAACTCGTCTTTATCCTAAACAGAGGATTCAGTATCCACCACAGATACTCATACATATTGCCAGAAGGAGCATCGGAAATTTGGTATCGCCCGACATGAAAAGAGCTTCTCAAGATTTGTATATGTGGTTTAATATTGTTCGATATAGCTCTTTCACGTACAATTATATTGCCACTGTTTCAATAATATTGATGGAGTTTCAATAAAAATCATGAGCATTTGATGAATTATTGGAAGCTCTTTTCATGTCGGGCGATACCAAATTTCCAATGCTCCTTCTGGCAATATGTTTGAGAAGGGGGAGGGTGATAGCTTCTTTTTTTTTTTTACTTGTTTTTGGGGGAGGGGAGGTGATTGACCCCCGGATATATGGATATATATTTCGATAGGTGGGTGATAATTTATTTACTTTTATTTTTATTTTTTTGTTGGAGGGGGAGGGGTAAGCCTCCTCCCTTCCATATTTTTAAAAAGATAAAACGGATATACATATGTTTCGGTAGGTGGATGATACTTTGTTTTATTTTAATTTTTTTTTGGGGGGAATGGAGGTTAACACCTCCCTCCGATATTTCTTTTAAAAGATAAAACGGGTATATATTTCGGTAAGCGGGTGATACTTTGTTTTACTTTTTATTTTTTTTGGAGGAGGGCTTAACCCCTTCACTTCTTCTTCTTCTTCCATTGGCTCGACAGACTGTTACTGATCCCTGGCCTCCTCCAATAATTTCCGCCAATCTGCACGCCGTTGAGCAGCATTACTCTAGTCCCCATCCGGGCACCTTCTGCCACGACATCCATCCATCTAAGACGCGGTCTCCCTTTACGCCTAGTATTATGAATAGCCTCACTCGTTATTTTTTGGGGGGATCTCACCCTCTGACATTCGTGCTACATGGCCAGCCGACCTCAGTTTCTCCAGCCTAATATGCTTCACAATTTCAAGTTCACCAAGGAGATTATATATTTCTTAATTGCCCCTCCTGAGGTATGCTTGACCGACACGAAAGCCAATAAACTTCGTTCATCCATCCGTGATATTACCCATGATTCCGAGCTGTACGTCAGAACCGGCCTGATTAACGTCTTATACAGCCGTAATTTTGTTGTCCTTGAGAGATATATGCTCCTTAGATGTCTTCCTAGCCCAATGTAACATCGGTTAGCGATGATTTTTCTCCTCTCAATTTTCTTTGGAATACTAATTCCCGCAGTTATCAGGGATATCAGGTAGACGAACTCATCCACTTTTTCAAACTCATAGGAGCCAAACTGCACATTATCTGCCAAGACACCAAACTCGAAGGTCATGTACTTGATTTTCACAGCATTTACGCGAAGTCCCAGTTGTCCGGCTGTTGCTTCCAGTGCAAGGAAAGTCACACGAACTGCAGTCTGGGATCTACCGACAATATCCAGATCGTTCGCACAACCAAGGATCTGAATCATTCTATTAAACACTGTGCCTTATTTGGCTCCGTGCATCTCGTATCGCTTACTCTAATGCAATGTTGAAGAGCAGACATGCCAGCGCATCTCCCTTTCTCACGCCATTCGTTGCAGAGCTCATCTCTGACAATTCGCCCTGTACTCGCACCACATACACGATTTTGCCATTGTTAATTTAACCAATCGAATAATCTTCTCTAGAATGTTCAGTTCCTTCATCGCTTGGTAAAGAGGCTCACGTAGTACACTATAATAATCAGCTTTGAAGTATAACGAACAGGTGATGCGTATGGATGAAATACTCTCTGCTTCGTTCTAGTATAATAGGGAGTGAGAAAATCTGATCGACTGTTGATCTACCTTTGCGGAATCCGCACTGATATTTTCCCAGCAATCTCTTCATATATGGCAGAAGTCTCATATATAAAATATTTTATACGCGCAAATTTTACACTCCTCGATACTTTACACTTTCTTGTGGTTCGGGCACAGTATAGACTTTTTCCAAGAACTTGGCATTATTTCTGATATCCACACGGATTCAAATAGGTTCTGTAAGGCTTCAGCAAGATTTCTGCCTCCTTTCTTAAAGAGTTCTGTGGGCAAGTCATCAAATACAGATGCCTTATGGTTTCTAAGTTTCTCAATTGCATCAAACAACTCTTCCTCATCAGGCCGTTCAATCTCATTGCAGTGATTTCCTTCAGAGTTAGGATTCAATTGATCAGCTCGATCTTGTTCGACGTTCAACAGTTCGTCGAAGTAGTTTTTCCACCTTCTCATCTCCAGGTCCCTGCTTGTGAGAAGAGTGCCGTGTTTATCCCTACACGCAGTGATTCGTGGTTGGAATGGCTTTCGCTCATTATTAATTCTTCTGTAAAAATTCCGACAGCCGTTTGTATGAATGTGTTGGTCAACCTCCTCAAACTGCTTATCCTCCCAATTCCATTTCTTCCTCCTGTGCACTTGTTTCTCCTCCTTTCTTCTTTTGCGAAAGAGAACTACCAATACTCTTGTGTGTCGCTTTTGAAGCATCGAGTTATGTGTCTGATTCTTGACATCAGTAACTCTTTTGCATTCCTCTTCGAACCAGTTAGCCTTCTCTGGTAACATTCCATTCCGATTGTTTCTTCTGCAGCTTTCCTAACACAGCTTTCTATGCCACACCATATTTGTTATATGTCGTAGGTATGCATAGAGAGAAGATCAAGTTTTCCATCAACCATGAACGCATGTCGTTCCGACTCATCGGTGTCCTTAAGTTTGCTAGTGTTAATTTTTTTACTTCTTTGATCCCTTTTGTTTTTCACTTTGGGGATTCTTTATCTTATTTTTGCTATTGAAAGATGATGATAATGATCAGAGGCAATGTTTGCACCTCTGTATGTTCTAACACCAAGAAGGTCTGACTTATGCCTGCCACTTATCAAACGATAGTCTATCTGATTAACAGTGAGTCCATTAGGTGATCGCCATCACTTGGGAATCCAGGATTTAATTTTTTGGGGTGGGACTTTAGCCCGACAGCTTTTTTTTTCATAAAAATAACGATAATTACTTTGGAAAATAAGAAATAAACTAACTACCTATATGAAAGGTGTTTAAGTGATTCCTAAAGTCCTTTTAAATGCAATTACACGAACAATAATACTTTAATAGATCATTTTTAAATATTTTTTTCATAAAACATGGATTATTTTACCATTTTGGGGGGAGGGAGAGCTTCAGCTCCAAAGCTCTCCTCCCCCGTAGATTTGTCCGTGATCGCCATGTACCCTTGTGTATATTTTTGTGAGGGACAAGGGTTCTGTGATTCACAGAAATTGATAAGCCGATGTCCATTATCGTTGCTTATTTCATGCAGATTATGCTTCCCAATTGCTGAGATGTGACTTCTTTCTCTCCCGACTTTAGCATTAAAGTCACCTGCAATAATCTTGATACCTGCTCAAGGGCAGGTGATTATTGTCATTTCAAGCAAGTCGTAGAACTCTTCCTTATCTTCTTCCTCAGAGGTCTCAGTTGGTGAGTGACAGCTAATCATGGTATGATTGAAGAATTTAACCTTGGCCTTAAGTTAACAGAGTCGCGGGCTCACTGGTTTGAAATCCATGATCAAATCTTTACACCTCGCAGACACTACAAAGCCCGTTCCATATGTATGCAATCTGTCGTCATAGCTATAGTAGATGGTGTGCTTCTTCTTTTCTAAATGTCCTTTGCCAGATCCTCTAATTTCCTGAAGCGCAGTTATATTGGATTTGTATCGGTCCAGCACCTGCAGAAGTTGTTGAAGGGCTCTGGGACTGTCCCGGTGCCCGAGATCCGAGTTGACCCAGCCTGGCTTACAAGACCTACAATTACAGATATTTTTTAAAACTTCTAATTTTAAATTAAAATAAAGTATAGATCACATTACAATAATATAGAAATATTTATGTAGTATCTTTACTTCAATTGTTTTATATTTTATAAAAGAATTTGGTTGGATTTTAGTGGTAAATTTTATATTTGACTGAGGTCCGGACAAATTATCCCTAGGCTCCTCGGTTTCTCTCCACGACCCTGCTTCAGCTAAATGCCCTACAATTTGAACATTTAATTATTTAGATACGGTGGTAAGTGAAAGTTGTGTGATACGCTGTTCCCCAGAATTTTTAAATTAAGAATTGTATGTTGTGAATAACATAGAATATTTTAATCAATCATCAATTTATATTAAATCAAAAGTTAGAAATATATACTTTTAAAAATAATGTTGTTATATATTAATTTTTGAAACTTAATAAAAATGATTCAATCATAAAGGTGCGTTTAGAAACTAGAACTATGGTACAAACATATACATCAATGGTTTGTTATACATACAACATACATGCTAGTATGTATGATTCTTGTTTTTGATATTTTCCATCTGCTGTTGGTACCAAGAGAAATAAAATAATTAGTTTAGTTTAGCGATAATATCGTTATTAGTTAAATTAGATAATTGTTTCTCATAGTTTGTGAAAGATCTAAACGCATCATTAGATTTTAAATTTAATTTTCAACAAAACGAATAAAGTATTGATATTCAGCGTACTCGTTTGGTGGTATGACGTTAATTATTTCTTATCGGTGAAAATCATTATTACAAAAACAGTTATGACAAGGTTTTTTATAATCGTTAAGTAATAATAAATACAATTATAAAAACTTGACAAACTCTCCAAGATCTGTTATTGAAGTAACTTAAAATTTATTGTTTTGCTTATTTTTGTAAGAGTGAAAATTCACTTAATTAATAAGTGACTTATTTAATTATACTCCAAATTTTACAATCAGCGATTATATTGACAAAAATGTTCTATTTGCCTTCAGTTTTTTAATAAAGCATTTAATGGATTAATTTCAGATCTCATTAAACACATCAAATCTGACTAAGTGACTAAATAACTAAAAATTGGTATAAAAACTTATTAAGTATTCAAATTAAATATTTAAAAAAAGACGCACATTTCAATTATCGCAGAGGCATTACTTTTAAAGAGAACAACAACAAGGAGTTCTATATTCTGGTTATAAACCAGAGAGGATCAGCCATCTTGTGTGGTTATGGTCCAAGTCTCCGTTAAAGGGAAGATTGGACATTGTTATCTGTTTTCGTGTAATACTTTGTTCTCATTCTATTTGTGCTCATACTGAGAGTTGGAAATGTTTCAGTGCAGTGCGTTTCTTACATTATCTTGATTTTGTGACTTTGTTTAGGTAGCCTGTTAAGTACAAAATGGTGTCGGTGGGAGAAGGAACAAAGTAAACTGTTTAAGCATGGATATGACCGAGATAAAAGTAAGTGGAGTTTTATCATTTCGTATTCATGAATGGATGTATCGTTTTGGTGAGAATAAGTAGTATGTGTAAACATTGGTTAAAGAAAGTCTGAAGAGTAATTGGTGTATATATCATGAATCTGAACTTTAGTAGGTAGTAGTAAGAATATCTGTTTAAAGCGATTATGGTTTCTATAAGGCTTCTTCATGTATAGAATGATACTGACTTGCAATCATACTGTTAATAGAGAAAAATTATAGCTCTGTTTACTAACATGGTTGGGGTGGGTCAGGTAGGCCTTAAAAGGTATACTTTCAAGTCCTCTTGATTCTTTGTAGACACATACAACGTCCACTCAATTCATGTTTTTACATTTTGAAGACAGGTCTTACTAATCAGTGACTAATATTAGATAGTGAGTTAAGCATTAATCTTTTGCTCTGAATTAAATCTAATCTTTTAGTCGATACTATTTCCATTTATTTTATCTTACAAGAATGATAATTCTTTTGCTATTTTATTTGATTCTACCAACTTTGGTAGACCTAAAGCCCCTGTAATTCTACATAATACCTAAATATTTAGTAAAATTTTGGATTCAGTTGTGACTAATGGCTGGACGTAAGTTTTATGTTTAGCCTCCCTAAACATTTTTCCTAGTATGCTGAATGTCCGCAATGCACAGAATTTTTGAAGAGCAGTTGTCGTTTTCATTTTAATGGTTTTGATTTGTTATTAACTTAAGTGAGTATACATATGATTAATTACATCACATGTAGTTTGACTGAATGATAAAAGTTAATTTATAAAAAAAATTTCCCTCAAATACCATTTTTGTACATTTCTTTTTTATTATTTAGTTTTTGCCCTGAAAGATTCCAGCTTAATACTGATTTATAATCTTATGGAATGTTTGTTTTGTGTTGTTTATTGAAACTATTCAGATTCTTGTGTTATATAACCATTTGTTTAGGAACAAAAATAAGTGACAAGTAATATGATTTTAGCCTATTGTTACAATAGCTGATGCTGGAATAATAAAGATTAGCTACATGTTACCTGTTGCTGTTAGCCTCTCTGAACTAAAATTTTAATATTTGATACTTTTAATCATTTGTTTACTTGATTTCTAGTCTAATTTAATGCCATATATATTTTAAAATAGTTAAAGATATAGGGTTTAGCTTTTCTCCTTAAGATAGCTGGTCTAGACAGGAATATGATCTAATCCTAATGCTGTCAAACATAAATCAGTATAGATTCTTAAAGAATTCATATTTCTATTATTGTACAGTATGCATTATGGCAGGATAATATTATGGACTGCTTAGGAGCTCATTGAAAATCTTGAACCAACCAATCCACAGTGGTATCAAATTAAATGAATTATCAATTATGTTCGTAAGGTAATATCATTAGACATTTTATTACAAAGTTAAGAAGAGTTCATTGGAAAAATGAAAAGGGTCCCATTTTATTAGATTTTGAAAAAAACAAAATTTTATATTTTGTACATAGAGTTCTAGAATTCTGAGTAATTTTCTTGGCCAAAACAATTTTATTTTTCCTATGCTGAAGTCATTGATCATTCAATCATCTGACATCTTGATGCTCAGTATAAATTAGATGTTTTTATATATTCATTCACAAATGTTTTATTTCTTGTATCTGTCAAAAAAATCGTGACCAGTAGCCAGGTGTAAGCAGGCTACTGCTTCTCTTCTTGATAGGTTTGCTGGGATTGGGTTTTCACCAAACATTTATGTCTCCCTTCCATCTTGTCTCTTTGTATTTTTTTTATTTGCTCCTTTACTACTATCCTCACCATTTCTCGAATCGAATCGCAAAGTTTTCGATGGACCAGTGGAGGCAATTCTGCTCCTCTCTTGGCGAGACTATCTGCTTCCTCATTTCCTGGAATCCACTGGTTCCAATGGTAGGACCTTGACATTGGAGCCTCGAAGTGTTAACTTATAGAGGAGGGATTTACACTCCAAGATAGCAATTGACAAACTTCATTCCCGTTGATAATAAGATGATAGCTGTTTGAGAATCAACAAAGAGAACAGCACTCTGAACTTGCCTTCCTCATAGTGTTCTTAGGGCTTTGAGGATCATTGCTATCTCACCATCGAAATTCGTACCATTCTTACCCTCTGCAGCGCTGAACTGGTCAAAAAACTATTCAAGCTCTATTTTGATTTCAGTGAAAAAATTTGTTTTCATGCCGTTTACAAACATATTCATAGCTCAGGATTTTCTTTAAGTCAAAGTTACTACAACCATTGGAAAGCTAAATTATTACTCTTCAAAACCATATCAATAACTTCTAAATTTTACACCTTTATAAGGAAATTAACAAAGAAAAACTCTTCAAACGTTTTTATTTTTAATCTGCAGCTCTATTTTATTTATGAGTGTCTAGTTAATACCATTATGTGTATATTATATGGCCCTAAATTTATGTTAATTTTCGTGTCGGTAAGTGAAGCCAAGTTGAAGTTATCACAATTTTTGTGATTTAAAAAAAAATTGATGGCTCCAGCTAGCCAGAAATTTTGAGCAAAAAATGTTAATTTTTTTATTTTTATGGAATTCATATTTAATGCTTTTTCGAGGTGCAAAATACAAATTTCAACTTTGTTTCTTCTTAAAAAAATATTTGAACCCACTTTACTTCTTATGTCAGTAGTAATTATTTCAATATTTTACTCGTACTCTAACTATGTGGCAAATATATATTTTTTTCCAAGCCGAATGGGGATCAAAATTAAGATTACATGCATAAAATCTGGTATTTAGCTGAGTATCGATCTAAAAATAAGAATAAACTATGCATTGTACATATTATACACATATAATACCATGGAATATATATATTTTTTAGGACAATCAAAGATGACAATCGTTTTTTACATTTCTCAAAACATTTAAATAAGAATTTTGTTGCAATTGAAAAATTAAATTTTTTGCTCAATATTCAGCTCTATATCTACACAAATATATATTTTTGAGTAGATTATATCGACTATTATATAGAGCAGTGTAGAGTATATACCTGTCCACTACTGTATAAAGTATCCACACTAGGACTGGCACTGATCAGTCTGGATAATCTACATTATACTGTTCTATAATATATAACCATGTTTTTTTTTTTTTTTGAGTAATAATGATAAAATTGGTTTTAGGTTTTAGCTCCAACAGTCAAGATGTCAATGTCTTCAGAATCAGCTAATCATTAATTAATTAGTCAAGATGCAGAAGCTGATTGGATTTGCCTTTGCCTTTATTTTTACTTGCTTCTTCTTTAGTAAGTTTTCTACATATCTAGTTTTGCTTCACTCTTGTTAATTACATATTATGCATGTGATATTTAGTTGTGGAAGTAAATCATGACGTGGAAGGATAATTTAATTTTTAAAAGTTACAAAATTAATAGTTAAAAGAAATGTATATGTTTTCTAGATTATTATATATTATGATAAAATCAACTAATTTAACTCATGCCATATAATTTCTTTAAGAAAACCATTATGTCATTGAAAAAAAAAAAATTAAAATGAGCCTAAAATTATTTTTTAATGAGGAATTTATATCAGAGCTTACAAAATGAAAAGAAAAAAGAGGGCAATTAGTTTTAGTTTTGGTGGAATGTCCATGATTAAAAGTTAATTTAATTTTCACTCATAATTTTATATTTATTTAAAGTAACAGATCTAACCATAAAATTTAAAAATTCTAATTTTAGATAATTAATTACTGCAATAGAGCTGATCTTTAAATTAACACGCCATAACTGCACTCCAACTGTATTATCACTTCCTTTCTGTGTAATGCCGCATTTACAAAATAGCTCTTTTTGTATAAATGTGTTTTCTCTACCTCTACCCAACATGTCAGGTCTGGTCAAGTCATCTAAACGATGCTATAACCCTGGTCTGGCAGAGTTGGGTTTGAATGAAAGGTGGGCGTTGGACAGAAGTCAGCAAAACCTTCAGTTTTGCTAAGCCTTTATTATTGTAATAATTTGATGCAGCATTTTGAATATATAACTTTCATTTTATACTGGTAGTTTACATTTTATTTTAGTTTATTGTTGCATGTTTCTAAAAATGGTGTTTGTTGGGAATTTTCTGATAATTTTATGAAAATGTAAGGAATTAGGTATTACCATTATGGTAGATATCATGAGTTCGCACATCAAAGTCACACATAATCCTAGTTTATAATACAGGTCAAAACTTTGAACTTTAAGCATTTAAGCCCTGTTAAGCGACATCAATGAGAATAAGACCTAGCTGATATTAAAGACTGTTTAATTATACATTGATATACAAAATAAATTTTAAATAGAACTGTTTTCGAGAAGATTGTAAATAATGTATAAAATTGGTGGTGATATTTTTAAGTATGTCGACAGTGGCTCTTCTGGTTAGCCAATTTTCAAGAAAAAAAGTTATAATACTCCAGGCATATACCTACTTTAAAATGTTAGCTGCTGAGCATGATATCTCTTAAATGTCCTTCCCGATAATATTGGTACCTGGCAACCAACACTAGTTATGAAGTTTCTAACGGTATCGGACACCAGAGATATACATCAGTTTCGAAGTATACGGCTATATTTTGACAAAAAACGTGAACTAAATTCCCTATTCAATGTTTCTATTTGTTGATTGTATCCTCATTAATGACTAGCAATTGTAGGAGTGGACTCAGACATCCAATACCATTTAAATAGAGAGTTTATTATTATTATTTCTCTTTATTTCAGTAATAAGTGTTATTTTTAGGATATAATTTATAAATTATTTGTGTAATACTTTTTCAATGTCAAGATAAAAATGGAGAATATAAAAAATTGAAGTTACATAATAAGTACAATATTGTTGCAATGCAAGTACTTTGGTATTTATTTTAAGATAAGGAAAAATGAAAATGAAGCATTAAGTTGCTAACTGCCTGCGATACTAGTTGGAAAATATAAATGTGATGGAAGTGTGGAAAATATAATTCGGACATAACATCACAGTCTCCACAGAAACTAGTAATTTTCCATGTTTTCTTATTAGCCTCCTTACTTTCTAAGGTCTTTCTCTGTTCTCTGTAGCATTATTTGCACTGCTTTTGTTTTTTTTTTCTCTCACCTGTAGGATTAATAAACCAATGGACACGATGCATCAGACATGGTAACAGTGGTCTGCGCGGAGTTGTGAATTCATCAGTGAGAAACGATAGTAACTTTGTAATTAATATGAGTTTTTCTGCAGGAATACGTATCGGTCGCCGGGATTACTGTAGGGAAATTATTTTTTATCAGTCTGATAGCATCCTACAGCTGTATAACATATATAATGATAATTTATATTTTATCTTTACATCTATTCAAATAATCGACCACTTGGCAGTCGAGATGAATATCAGATCCCAGGGATCATAACTGCAGCTAACGTGTTAAATACGTAATATCAGTTCTGTACAACTTTTCATTTTTGAGTTAGGCTGTTAATATAAACACACATACACACAATCACACACTCATAAACATACGCACAGATCATTTTGTGGGACTTGGTTATTTGGACTTACAGTATCTCAAAAGGTTCCATTAAACGCTCCAAATCGAAAATGTTCATGATTGCAATACTTTCCCTTATTATATAAGATATACATAGGTAAGTGAATTTAAAAATGTTGCCAATTGATATTATGCTTGTTAAAGGTATGTGTATAAGTCAAAATATTCAACCTCGGACTACTCATTGTGAATTCTACAATAGTAGTTGTGCGAACGGAAGCTGTAATGAGACTCTAGAATGTGAACTGCCAGAGCAGGACAAAAGAGTCCACTGCTTTGTGCTTTGGAATAATTCTTCTGGTGTCCCTGAGGTCAAGATGAAGGTAGGTGAAATATATATATATATATATTGTTACTTTTAGTTTTAATGATTTGTTTCAAAATATCATAATTATTTCATTAAGGAGGAATAATCTAATTTATAATTATTCAATTTTTATAGGGTTGCTTCTTGAACAATGAATGTCCTGGACAGAACCGCTGTGTTGAAACAAGAGAAGAGCCCAAAATAGATTTGATGTTCTGTTGTTGTGAAGGAAATATGTGCAACCGAGAATTCAATTTTGAGCCACAGCCAGCACCTCCAACTACACCAAGTGAGTCCTGATCCAATTATAAAAGCATATTATGGATGAATAAAAAAAAAAGAATAAAATTTTACTAAACTGCAACGACAAAATTAGTTTGCTAACTAGTTGATCCGTATGAATAATTTGCAAAGTACATTGGTCAAGGATCAAATGACAAAATAATAAGAAAATAGAGTAATGTCCCACCTCAATCCAATGACTTACCACTGTCCCGGAATTGAAGCCGAAGTCTTTATATCAAATTTATTTATTTTATAACGAAAACAAAAGCAGAGTGTACGATTCGCTAACTCCCCACAACCTGATCAAATATACGAATAATTTATAATCAAAGATATATATAATTTGATAAATTACACATCAGTTCACCTCCCATTGCTGGAGGGATTTTAATTCTGGAATTAATCCCCTGCCCTTACCTCCTGGCCCAGGATAACACCCGTGTAAGCCTAAAAGGTAAGGAAGGAGAGAGAAAAAAAATATGAATGCTGCCATTTTTAAAAATATAACTTTCAAACTTCTTTTATTTATTAATTTATAACTCCAAAACAATACTTCCTCTTGTGAAAAAAATTCTCTATTCTAAGAATAAAAGAACACCACTTTCTGCTATCAAATGCAGAACTATTATAATATATTTGGTCCAGAATTATATTTGAAATTACACTATGTTTACCTACATTGTCTTGATCTCCCAAGTGATTTGGATAACACTGAATTATTTTATTATCAGCTCAAGTTTTAACATACGTAATTAGATTCTATATAACCAAAAGAAATTTTATGTCTGCAAAAAGCTAGACAAAATTACTTATTTTACTCTTAATTGAACTTTTATAATTAAAAACTACAGAAATTTCAAAGCCTAAAAATGCATGTCTATCAACTCCCAGCCCCAAAGTCTACATGGCATACACTGATTTTTCCTAATAATGAATACAGTGTAATAAGTTGTACCTTTTTTGTATTTGAAAAAACAACATTTTAGTAAATATGGACTCTTTATTTATATTTTTGGACTCAGTGATTGATTTACAACTCCTAAATGATACTTCTTAACTAAATATTAAACAAAACCCAACAACTTTTATTATTAAAGAAAATTAAATTCAATGATAAATGAGCAAATTAACACTTGTTGCATTTCATTCTGTTAAGTTATCTTTTTTAATATAATATGTGTTATTTTATGTATATGCTAGATAATATGCTATAATATTTTATTGAAGAGAAGAATAGTTGGGGTGGTCAGTCAAAAAAGAAGGCAAAAATAAATGATAATATTTATTTTTACAAATGGCTTATTTGTAAATTATGATAATATTTATTTTTGGCATTTGTAAAAATAAATATTATCATTTATTTTTGCCTTCTTTTTTGACTGACCACCCCAACTATTCTTCTCTTCATTATCCACGACAGTTAACCAATTATAATATTTTATTATTTGAACAAGCTAAATATTATTTTATTTTAATAATATCAATTGTTAATCATTCTTTGAAAAAAAAAAGCATAATTAATCATTCTATTGAAATTTCATCTCAAATCTTAGATTTTATATATATGTACATATTAAAAAAAAAAAATGAATTACAATTTTTATATTTTAAATTAAAAATTTAAGTTTCTAAACACCTTTTTCTCAAGAAGTGTACGATATGCTCAAGTCCCCTTTTTGCGCCTTCCATCTCAATTAAATACAACTGGTTCCAAAATAGATTTGTTGGTCCTTTACTAAACAACATGAGTCAGTCATTATGTTTCTTAGGCAGTGCTCAACTAATTAGTAATCACTGACTGCAAGTGACTCACAACCAATATTATAAAATGAAACACAAGAAAAGTAAACTAAATGTAATAAAATAAAATATCAAAATTTACAATGTATTAATAAACTAATATAATCTGACATTAAACGAATTACTTATTAGTTATTATTATTATTTCAGAAGTTCCTGTTGAGAAAAGTACTCCTGACAAGATGAAGTATTTGTATATTACCCTCATCATTATCTTCATCGCTTTACTTTTTCTACTGACAGTAATATTCTATTATCTAAGGCGGAGGAAGGCTTATTTTAATGAGGTCAGCCTTGCAATTATTATATTATTATTATTATTATTTTTTATCCCTGTTCATCTGTTTATTTAGTAACACATTTTCCTTTCATTTGCCTTCTTTCCTTGGACAATATTTAGTGGGTGAGTAATCAATATAATATTTTCAATTTATCTTTTTACAAATAAAAAAATCTACTCTGATTTTTAAAGACGTAATATTAACAATTTAGCTTTTACAAGCAATGCATTACATTCATATAGCAATAATACTAAATAACAAAATTTTGACAATCTACTATTTTCAATATTTTATTACAAAAATCATTTCAAGGATTTTATTTTTTCAAAAATGAACTGGATTTCATTGAAAAAATATGGATTCCTTAAGCCCTTGTCCCTTTGTTTTATTTTAGCATTATGTTTCTTATGAGCTCCATTTTCCTTCTTTAATTTTGAATTAAGCTCCATTGTGATATCCTTTTGTATTTATTGTTATTCCTTTTCTTGGATTTGTTGTGAATATGAAATAACTCTGAAATTTGTCATTTTTATTCTTCCTCTCTGTTCAGTTGACACCCATTATATAATCCATGAAGGGTTTTGGACTCCGTACTTGATACAAAATCACTGTTTGATCACCAACTGTTGAACAAAGGATGATCTAGCAGAGATCAGGATCATTGATTTAATCAGTATCTCAGCTGTGCTGAATCCTGAATCTGAAAGTCCCATTTAAGTCCTTGCTATTAGTAGTAATCTTTGGTTATCTCAGCAGAGGGAATTCGGAGTATCACTCAAAAGACGTCAAGATTCTTTAAAGTGAGGACCTGGATTTTCGATGTGCTGGAGGAAAAATTGGCATTTGAATGCTATCTTGAATCTGATGACATCTCTATCTGCAATATTTAGACAAGTACTGTATCCAAGACCCTCCATGGTTCCAGTAGTATAAAAGAATTTCTTTTTTTTTTTTTTTTTTTGTTGGAGCATTATGTGTACTGGGTGGAACATATTATCTTTGGAACATGGCACAGCAGAGTCCATCTTTAAAAACATAAAGGCAAAGGAGGTCTCATAGATTAGGGAAGGTCTCCATATGTTTTTATTAGGGCCTGTTTTAACTAATTAGATGATCTGGAAAAGTTATAAAATTCCATAAAAATTATTTTGTAGACACTCTGAAATCACTGAAACTACTTAAAAAGGCCTGACCCATTTGCATAAACATCAGGTGAAGGGTAAATTGTGTGACTTGACGTTATTCTTTGTTATTGCCACACATTCACTTGTTATCTGGCCTTATAAAATTTGTTATGGTTATTAAATTAATGTAGGATAATTTTTAATAGACTTATAACGAAATGAGATTCCCAATTGATTGTTAATTTTGTTATTATTCCTGATCATATAATTCAACAATTAAATATATAATAGAAGGTAACACATTTTATTATTATGGGTGATAAATATTCTGGACACAGTCATTATAAAGTTTTTATTACTGCCGACATTTAACCCAAACATGTGGATGTGGATCATCGTCAGGGCTGAAAATTTTTAAATACAATCAGCGATATAATATTATACGACTAATAATGGTTAATAATGAAAACATATATAGTGATTGATGGTACATGAATCTTAACTAATATTACAATACAAATATTACAAATAAAATATGTAGAAAGTTATACAAACTAAAAATAATGTATATAATTCATTTATAAAAATTGTAATATTTTCTCTTACTAACCGTGGTTTGAGCACTGAAGATATTCAAGTACTAATACATTTGGTAGGTAAGTGTGAGGAGTCAGGGGAGGATTTCTCAGTTGTCCTTTTTCCAATAGCAAAAGGTAGGTAAACATAGTCAGAGGGGGGGAGGGAGGTAACATATCTATTTGTAGAATATAAATAATTTGCTGACTAAATATTCAAGATTTGCGTTGTTTCTGGTTACAGAATTGTGACTATTGGCTAGTAATGAAATGAACATAAGCAAGAGCTGCTAATCAATATAAATATAACATAGTTTGATTGAAGGTGTACCATGGTTAGCCAAATAATATATATAATAAAGACAATTGTAATGGATCAAAATGATCATAGGACAATTTATTATACAATATTACATATGTAAGTTGACAGGGAAATGGGGAAAATGAAAAACAAGTTTTTAATGACTATACACTATTGTTTTAGGAGGCGAAAATAATGTCCATTCTCAATATGAATATATACTATAAACAGGTACAGATCTGTTTATACTTGTACTATTAAAACTTTGTAATCTTTAATATAATAGAAATTTCTATTATGATTAACACTGTTATTCTTAAAATATTGTATAATATATTGTCCTATATATCATTTCAATCCATTACAATTGTCTTTATTTTAAATGTTATTTGGCTAACCATTGTATATCTTCAATCAAACTATGTTATATTTATATTTATCGGCACCTTTTTCTTATGTTCATTTCATTACTAGCCAATAGTCACAATTCTGTAACCTTAAGAAGCAACGCAAATCTTGAATATTTAATCAGCAAATTATTTACAATCTGCAAACAGATATGTTACCTCCCTCCCCCCCCCTCTTACTATGTTTACCTACCTTTTGCTATCTGAAAAAGGACAACTGGGAAATCCTCCCCCAACTTTTGACTTACCTACCAAATGTGTCAGTACTTTCATACCTTCAGTACTTGAATCACGGTTAGTAAGAGAGAATATTACAATTTTTATAAATGGATTATATCCATTATTTTTAGTTTGTATAACTTTTTAGAGTTTCATTTGTAATATTAGTTAAGAATCATTTACCATCAATCACTATATTTTATTATTAACCATTATAGGTCGTATAACATTATATCTCTGATTGTATTTAAAAATTTTCAGCCTTGATAATGATCCACATGTTTGAGTTGAAACTCACTCAGCACTAATAAAAACTTTATAATGATTGCGTCCTGAATATTTTTCACCCATGAAGGTAATACAGTGAATACTTACATATCTACTTAGGAAAGTATGTATAATTTACCCTATCCGCGCTTTCACTGGTGGGAAAAAAATCATAGCATGTTCTTTGTAACTGCTATAAAAGTTAAATAATTGGTATTCCCTTGCTGAAATATATAATTTAGTCTAAGAAATCAAACTTAGCTCTAAATAACCACAAATTTTAAATTTAAAGAAATGGATTTTAACCATTGTTAATTGTACCTTGTTATCAGAATCAGAAATTAAATGTTTTTATTGACTACAACTATTTTTCTTAATAGTTCTGACAGTTTTAAAATAAAAAATAATAATGTTCATTCTTAACAGGTACCGACCATGGACCCTCACCCCCTGGCACCATCAACTCCTAATATGGGCCTCCTCCCAATCCAACTGATGGAAGTTAAAGCCAAAGGGAGATTCGGTGCAGTTTGGAAGGCACAGATGAAGTCCGAAATTGTAGCAGTCAAGATATTTCCCGTACAGGTTTGAGTTATTTGTATTAGGCACTGAATTATTAGAATTATTGTTGAATTATATTAATATTACTTGTTACTTATTTTTGAACATCTAAAATTTAGGCCATTAAGATGATATCTTCATTTTTTTAATTTAAAAAAATATGATTATTAGAAAGTCAATAATTATTTTCGCTTTTATTTTTCAATTCCATTTATCAACAGTCAGCAGATGAACTGGTTTAACTATGGCATGAGAAAAACCAAAATACAAGAAGGTCTTAATAATCTGAATATGTAGATTACATGCCCTGTTCAGATTTTTAAAGATTAAATTTAAAATGATTGAAAAATTGTCTAGGACAACAAAAATATATATTACCAGTTCAACATAAGTACATTGTAATTAAAACATTATTGCTGAAAATGATTGTGTAATTTATGTCAAGTCTCTGATTTTGTTGCTAAAGAAAATACCTGATCTCACAAATTCCTTACAAGTTCTTACAAATTCCTTAAAGGCTTCGGTAGTCGATAACTTAAAGTTCTTTAATTTTTCAAAGAGTACATTTTTCGCTTTGATGCACTGTTTAGGAGTTATTTGTGAAACAAGATCAAGATCTATTTAATTAAGATGTAGGATAATTTAAAAATATTATTTGCATCTCAACATTTGATTGACATAACAAATAAATAGCTAATTAATTAAATGATTTTTTTTATGCCTGAAATAAGTTTAATTGTTAATAATAAGCATTGTGATATATGCAATTTAAATCTAAATATGCACAATAATAAAGTCGTTTGCTAAATATACAAAATATAAATATGCAATATATATATAATACACAAATCCCAGGCCTATAAATATATATATATTTATAGGCCTGGGATTTGTGTGTATAATGCATATATATGCATACAAATTCCAGTTCTTACTCATAAGTTATTTAGATTTCCATAGATAATTTCTTTTTGTTAAAATTGATAACGGTTAATTTTTTCTTGTTTCTAGGACAAGCAGTCATGGCAAAGTGAACAACAGATCTACTCTCTGCCCCAGATGAGGCACGACTGCCTCCTGCGTTACATAGCTGCCGAGAGGCGCGATGGTCTTCAGAGTGAATTTTGGTTGGTCACAGCCTACCATGAATATGGCTCCCTCTGTGACTATCTCAAGGCTCACACCCTCACTTGGGAACAGCTTTGCAAGATAGCAAAAACTATGGCTAGGTATTTCAGATATATATCCATTATTCTCTGTTTTTTACAAGTACTAAGTTGTGCCTGTAATTGTAAAAATGCTCCGTAAACAAATATTGTTTTATTTTCAAATCTTGAATTTAGTTTATAAATTGATTTTATATAAATTTAGTTTATAAATCTTGAATTTAGTTTAGCTGTTAGTTAATTGAACATAATTTGATGATTGCTTTCATTTTATATATTTTTCAAAAGATTGGTTTTCATTTTTATTTAGAGGTCTGATGCACATTCACGAGGAGTTGATCCCAATATCAAAAACAGACGGGTTTAAACCAGCTATTGCTCATCGGGATTTCAAATCTAAGAATGTCCTTCTGAAGAATGACCTAACAGCCTGCTTGGCCGACTTTGGTCTTGCCCTTGTCTTTCAGCCTGGCAAACCTTGTGGTGATACTCATGGTCAAGTATGTTTGCTTTTTTCATCATATTTTAAAGTATTAACATTTTATCCTCTGATTTTATGTCTTCACATAGAATAATAAAAAATAAAAAAAATAAAGATTCTTAGGTTTTTTATTATAAACTAAAAAATTATTTTTTTATTGGAGTAGTTTTTATTTTTATTTTTAGTCAGTATTGGTATGTGATCAGTTATATTAAGACCTTCAATAAATTCTCGCTGTTTCCTTGACTTCAGTGTATGTTAGTTCGCCACAATATAAAAAACTTTTTTTTTTGTAGTTCTAAGAATGTTAAGTTTTGTGCCAAATAAAGAGTATTTGTGGAGTATTTTATTACACTGTTTTATTCAAAAGTAATTGCAATTGTAGTACTCGGAATTCTTGTTGAAACTTATGGTGATCATGCTCTGTTAGAAATGTCATGTAGATAATGTTTTTGGCGCTTCAAAAATAATAATTTTAATCTTGGAGATTAAGAATGCTCTGATGTACCAAAAAAGTTTAAATAATAAGAATTAGGGAAATTACTTAATATAGATTTGAGTTTTGTGTCAGATGCTAGCTTAACTTGGAAAATCATTAATAGTAGATGACACAATGGTTTTGAAATGTTTGAAAGCATTAGGAATGATTGAGAAGCAAGGACATTGAGTGCCGTATAATTTTAAAATTTCATTAAAGTTTTTTCCATCGTATCATGACTGGCTGTGACAATGTATACTGTACGATAATCCTAAGTTTAAAGAATCATGAGGTAAGCCCAGCTAGGCATCAACATCATCTGCAAAGCCAAATATTCATGGTTCGAAGCTTCTCTGCATTTGGTGGAATGAGTTTGGCGTAATTAATTATTAGTTGTTCAAACCAAATGAAACTCAGAAGAGATCCCTTTGAACTACGATTGATGTGTTTAAGCCAAGTCCTAAAGGAAAAATGGCTCTATACGAGTAGAGAGACAAAGCTCGCCCACATGTTGCAAGACTAGTAAAAACATACCTGGAAACTGTTAAAAGAGAAATCTTGCCTCACCTGCCATATTCACTGGATATAGACCCTTCCAATCATCACTTATTTTGTTTGATTGCACACAGCCTGGCTGAGCAGCACTTCCATTCTTATTCTTACTAAAAAGTAGGTAGATTTTTGGATAGTCTTAAAAGTGGAGCTGTTTTTCCAACATGGGATTCATATGCTGTCAGGAAGATGGAAAAAAGCAGTGGCTGATGAACCATTAATTTTCATAAAAAAAAAAAAAGAGCACTAACTTATTCAAGGATCTAATATAATTATAGAAATCCTCTTAAACAAACAATAATAAACAAACTAATGAAGATTCTAAAATTAAAATGAATCAGAACATTGCCAACCGTTTAAAATGCTGTTGTAGAAAAGGTTTCCAGAAACATTAAAAAAAATTAAATTAATACATCAACAAATGAATTTTTATATTTCAAATGTGCCTTATTACAGTATTAACATTTTTACTTTAAATCTTTCATGTTTGTTGATGAAAATTAAATTTTATAATCATTAAATTTGTGTTAAGGTGGGTACAAGAAGATACATGGCTCCAGAAGTTCTTGAGGGTGCCATCATCTTTTCAAGAGACCACTTCCTCAGGATTGATATGTACGCATGTGGCCTAGTCCTTTGGGAGCTCGCAACACGATGTACCGCCCAAGATGTAAGTATATGCCTTAACAATAGTTGAAATTTGTACGTCTTTTTAACATTATTTTTTCCTAATTAAGATCTACATTACTATTTATAGTAAATTTATAATTATTTTATGACATATAAACATTTCTAACTACATTAATGAGCAATAATGAATTCATGACTATCCTGTTGTTAATTAATGTTTTACAATACTGATGGAATGAAATTTCATAGGGGCCAGTTGGAGAATATCAGTTACCATTCGAAGAAGAGGTTGGCCAGCACCCTTCACTTGAAGACATGCAGGAATGTGTTGTCAATAAGAAACAACGGCCTGCTATCAGTCCGCAATGGAGGAACCATCCAGTATGATACTTTTTCAATTAATTTAAGTTGTAGTAACCTTAGTAGAAGCTTGGATCTGATTTGTTTGTTTCCATAATACAGTTTATTTAATTTATCAGCAGAAAGGATAAGGAACAGAAAGTGTTTTTTCTTCTTATATATGGTGTCTTCAAGGATCGATAAATCCTTATAATTTTACTATTTATTTAAGTTATTACAACGTTTCAAGCTACTTTGCTCATTTTCAAGTTATCAAAATCCAAACTATAATTCTATAAATTCAAACATGTCTCAATTACATAATTTTATTATTATTTATTTTTAGTTCACAAACATCAAAAACCTCCATTCTTTGTCGCATTTTATGCGCATCTTGTCTAATGCATGTCAGTTCCTGAAACCTGATACTGCCTCCTCCTTCTATTGTTTAACATGGACTGTATTTTCTTTTTTACTTTCACTTACCTATATATTGTTAGGTTACGTTTCCTTTGAAAAGTAAACAAACAGTTTCTTTACCAAATTATTTTTATTTTACACAATAATTATTTTAATTGATTACAAATTATTTCTCAGGTTGGGTCGAGGCAACAAACACACATTCCTCAATTAGAAGTAATAAAATCCTACATTAATTGTATATAACATTTATGAATTTCCATTGGTTTTGTCGGAGTCTACTCTTGGCACGCTTTCTAACTGTCACTATTAGCCCTGGAGCCAGGCCCAAAAATGGACCTTATCCCAGGCTAAGGTTTAAATGTAAATTATGAAAGCGTATAACATTTTAATTAAAATGATCTTTGTCTGCCATTCCAAAGCTGCTACTTTCAAAAATGGTGGCCATGCAAAGAGGTCCAAATTTGCTGAAAATGGTATTTTTGGCAGACTCAAATTCAAAAATTGTAATTTTATGTGCAAAAATTAATCAAAGTTAGGAGGCTTGAATTTTCACTACATAATCCCTTCTTACCAATTGTTCATTAAAATTGAAGTGTGCCATCTAAAGGCCGTTGCTTTCAGTAGGCAGAGTGAGCTTGAATGTAAGAAGCTATAGCGAAAAAAGATTGAAGTGTCACATGATCGCTTATAATGAATCATTTATTATTCCGTTGTTCGATAATCAACCTATGAAGACCTGACAACTGTTTTTTTAAGATAAATAAATACATTTTTAAAACATTAAAATTTTTTTAAATAGTAAATATGTATTTTTTTTTTTTATTTGATTTATATTCATAAGACTATATCTCTTTATTTACTACTTTTGTAATTTCTTATTTAATTTTATTGATATAATTTTTAATTGATATATAATACATATTAGGTGATTTACCCATTGTTGACGGGTGTATATTTAAATTAAATTAAATTGGACTTTTTTAAAAGTATTTTTATCAATCCATAGAAAATATTTTAAAACCAAATTAAAAAAATCCCACTTAAATTGTCTGCAGGAAATATTTTAAAACCAAATTTAAAACCCACAAAATTTGGTTCAATAAAAAGCGGCTTACCTATTCTTTATTGCAATAGTTCAATATCAAAAGACAAAGCTGGGTCAAGTTCCAAGTAACTGTAGAAAAAAAAAAATGATAAAACCCAAAGAAATTCATGCCAAATGTTATTCCAATAATTCATTATCAAAATATGAAGCTGGGTCAAATTTCAAGTAAACTGTAGAGAAAAAATAAAAACAAAACCCAAGGATGTTGATACCAAATCGTTATTCAAATAATTCAATATACGAAGCCGGATCGAATTCCAAGTTTTTGATAATCACCCAACCAAATACTGTTTCAATAAATTATATCGAAACAGTAAATCAGTAATTCCAGTCAATATCAATAATCAAAGACTATTCAAATCCAAAAGTTTCTGTTGAGTTGTGATAATTTTTTCCATCAGTTTGATGTTGAATAGTACAACTTTTAAATGTAGCGTGCCATAGAGTAGGTTGGGATGAGAATCGAAATAAGTAACTGCCTAACTGGAATCTCTAGACAAATTACTCTAGAATTCATAACTATGGTTCTACTCAATACTTTGTTTTCATTTAAAGGCTATGTTTTAAGCCAAGCAATCCTAAATATAATGTCAACATTTCAAAAGTCTACCATTAGCCATTGCTGAGTTTACCCTTGACAAAATTTCCTTGGACAATGCGTAAAGACAAAAAATGTTTTAAAACTGGATTTGGTGTCTGTAATGTATGAAACGGAAAGATATCATGAAACGGGTTGATTCTATATCAAAATTTAAGTACATTGAATGAATGTTTTTGCATGGCATTTAATCCAGTCTATGAATGTTCGAAAACGGAGTATAGAATGAAATGGAGGAGACACAATGTTTGGACTAGTAAGGAGATAAAGATACTAAAAGTCCCCACTCCTAGGTGATGAGCCATATGTTGGGGGGAGTGCCTAGTAGGTCGCTTTTTTTCGGGTTTTCGCTTATATCAGTAAAACTATCCATCATATCGACAAAGACACGCTCAATACAAAATTTAAACTGATTAAATTTGTAATATGATTGATTATATATCTTTTTTCGCTACCTCACTTAGTTTCCGAGATATCCGTCCTCAACTATAGCTAAGTTTGAAAAAAAAAATTCCCTCATGTTTATTGCTGTTTTTTGTGCTTTCGCTTATATGAGGTAATGTATCCATCGCATCAACAAAGATATTCTATACAAAATTAAAGCTGATAAAATTTTCAATATGATTTATTCTATACAGTTTTTTGCTACCTTGCTTAGTTTCCGAGATGTCCGTCCTCAACTATGGCTAACTTTGAAAAAGAAAAATTATATTCAATCTCAAACTGATGGATAAAATTATCACAACTCAACTGGAACTTTTGGAATTGAATAGGCTTTCATTATTGATATTGACTTCAATTACTGATTTACTGTTTCGATATTATTTATTGAAATCTTATTTGTTTGAGTGATTATCACAAACTTGGAATTCGATCCGGCTTATATCTTATTGATCAAATAATCCCTCTATATTGAATTGTCCCTCTCCTCTTTATGATTTTCCTTCTTTTGGGAAAACTACAGAGCAGCTATTTTCTTTCCTCTGAACTAGTAAAACTAGATTAGCTTGGCTATTAACTGTTCAACATTAATTTATTAAACCTTTTTTCAACATTAATTTATTAAACCTTTTTTATCCGTGGGCGGGGTAGCCGAATGGGCCAAGGTGTGTGCACAGCACCACCGTTGCCTGGCAACCTGATATATCAATAAAATGATATAAAATAGTCACGAGTTCCGAGTCCCGGTGCCGAGGGAGTCTTTTAAATCCCCGCCCACACTCCCTGGCCCGGAAAAACCCCGTATAGCCTTAACGGCGAGGAAGGGGAGGACCCAAAAAAAAAAAAACCCTTTTTATCCATTTCCAATAAAGTTGTACATTACAATATATATATATATATATATATATATATATATATATATATATATTCATTATTGTTTATTATAAAATAATGACATTTGTTGATAGGGCTTAGTGGCATTGTGTGAAACAATGGAGGAGTGTTGGGATCAGGATGCTGAAGCAAGGCTGTCTGCTTCCTGTGTCGTCGAGAGAATTAAATCTCATGCCCAGCTGAGGGATCCTCAGAAGATCATCGATGTATCGTCACCCAACCTGTAAGTTCATATTCTCAACCATAGTATTTAAAATAAGGTGGAAATTATATATTTCCTGTGGAAAAACTTTTTTTTTTTTTTCGATGCCTGGAAGAATATTAAGTGTGGTTGAAAAAAAAATCCACCCATTGTATTTAGATTTGATTTCTTCAGTTTTCATGCCTTAACACACTCGACTAATAAGCAAAGTTGAAATTATTTTACTCTTATTACGAATATAATTTTAAATTTTGATGTCATCTTGTTTTGTCTCTGTCACACTTGGTAGTTCTAAGGTCTTGTGTTGTAGGTCTGTTTTTGTCCTCTGTAATTAAATGTCACACTATACGTCTCAGCACTCAGTTCTGTTACTGTTAAAACTTATAGTTGATGCTGATATATTTCATAACATCGGCGCCCCATGAAGGAGGGCTAGTCTTAAAATCCTTTTGTAAATTAATAATTTGATGCAGAGAAATAGATTAGATGAAGTCAATAGATGGTTTAGTCTGCAAGACTTTGTCTTCGCTCTCATTGTATTTAAAAAGCTATTATAGATTGCAATATTATCTGTATATACTGCTACTGCAGCTTTCTTATTCTCAAACAGTTTCAGCCGTGTACTCTGAGAATAGTATTGAGGAAAGCACAGAACCTTGGAAAACACTGCAGGTGAGTGCTACATTTTTGGATAAAGCATCTTCAACTCTTACCCTAGTTTTCCTCTCCAAAAGGAAATATTGGATATTTGGCAGTCCATGTGGGAGCGGGTGACCAAGCGAACTAACGCGTGTGTACAGCACCACTGTCTAAACTGATTACCGAAGTTTAGACAATAAAAATACATATGATTTCTCGTCTCGGTGCTGGGGGATGCTTTTAACTGTGGCATTAGTCTCCCGACCTCATGCCCCGGAGAATCCCCGTATAGCCTATAAGGCAAGGAAGGGGAGAGTAAAAAAAAAAAAAATGCCAATTCATGTGGAATGAGAGCCCACCAAGCAAATTAAAAGTTATAAAAAAATCAGTAAAGCCCTGGACCACATCAAGCTATTCTAGTTGCAGACAGGAAGTCAACGTGACTAGCTTAAGAATAGGTCATACAAATTTGAATTATTTATGTCTTATCAATAAACAGCCACCTACTACAATAGCCCTCTCACTATTGGTCGTATTTTTCAGGTATGTCCCTATTACTCCTCAAATTTAAATAGATTATATCTTAGACTGGATATTTCAGTGATATTAAATAATGACGAATCAAACATCAAAGCAGTTATAAACTTTCTGAAAACCCAAAGGTTATTTAACGAAATGTAGAAATGCATATAATTTTTTTTTATATTATATTTTTTATTTATTTATTATTAATTTTCTATTTTTATTTTATTTTTTTGTTCTAAGGATTTCCTGAACTCTAGAGAGCCAAAATAAGTGACCGATAGGCATTGATGACCCAAGGGTTTTACCCCTTAAAGCCCAAATAAACAAACAAACTCTTACCCTAATTTATCACTGTAATAGTAATGATCGCAACGGTATATAGCTGCTCCGGAAACTTGTCCTTCATTATCTTGCATAGAAGCTTATTAGACACCGAGTCGGACTCTTTAATACCTTCTGTTGAAACCATAGAGATCACTTCATATTTGGCAGTATTTTGGCTCATTTCTGCCAGTAGTTTTGCCAGATGAGGATCCGGACAGAGGCCAGCCTGAAAGCTGGTCTGCACTGGTGGTATTGCTATTTTTCAGCAATATATTTTGAGATTATTTTTTCAAATACTTTGTCCATATGTGGAGGTAAGCTTACAGCCTGTAGTCAGCCGGCTGGGATCCATTCTTCGTGGGTTCCAATAGTGGTGAGAGGATAGCTAGTTTACGTGCTTCTGGGAAGTATCTCAACCTGGGATAGCAGTTTTAGAGATTAGTCAGATGTTTTATACTTTTGGACAATTACTTTAACACTATTGTCTGTATCCTGTCGTGGTCTGGGGCTTTATTCCTCCTCATATGGTGAAGAATAGCATTTACTGTTATGAAGATAATAACATGTAACTATTCTCTATTTCACCTAACGGTATCTATAGAATTCTGGGACCTTCTTTGTATTACTTCGTCATAATGATCAGCGAATTTCTTCACCTGCTCCTCGTCTGTTAGGAGTTTATCACCATCATGGAGTATTTCTAAGTTTTTTTTCTTTGTTCTTGTTTCTTGTCTAGAAAAACGTGTCTATCTATCTCATACAGCACAGGTTCAAAGTCCAGTGTAACGCTGTCAATGTGTCCGGCTTGTGAGTAGATCAATAGTTGACTAAAAAGCCATGTTCGCCCTGTGTCTAAAAGTATGGGTATTGGGATAAACTGCAGTGTGCCTAGCGTTTAGGTCACCCAATACCCAATGATTTGTTCTATTTGCACACTCATTAAGAAGTCATGAAGTTGTCTTGATTATTGTGGGTTTGTCTAGAAGGACCTGAACAGTTCTTTGATGGATCCTCATGCTCCTAATTGTTATTGGTGAGGGAAGTTCTTTCAATCTGGTTACAAATCGTATAGTAATCAACATCCCTCTCGTCAGATCTGTTGGATTTTCTCCAATAACTTCGTGGAATAGGACATATGTGCTAAAAATTGGTCCATGTGTCCGTGAGGATTTCTGAACATTTTGTCACAAAGTCATTGAACATTTTGTCACAACAACATGTTGATTAGTGTGTTAGTTGAGTAAGTAAGGGTCTTGATACATTTCAAGATATTTTCCACCCAGATAGGTATTTCATGTCTAATTCTTTAGGCATGGAGTCTGTTTGTTCATAAGCCCGTTGGGTTTGTCTGGATGGTAGTTCGTCGGCCTTGGGCTTGTGCAACCTGGCTGAACACGCGTTGTGGTAGACTTCAATCTCAAGCTGACCTTCTTCAACTCTTCCGCGGTCTCCAATCCTTTTTGTGCAATATTTATTAAGCTAATGGTAGAATTTATTAATATTTAATTATTTAAGTAACGACAATTTGGAAGTTAGTAGAATTAAGTTGAATATATGTACGTCGGTTTGTGTATTTAGAGATAAATTAAAATAACAATGGTAAAATATAAAGAATTATAGTGGCCTCAATTAGGACTGCCTGACCTCACGCCGTCCTCTAATGATAAAAAGTTTCTCCACCTATAGTTTATATTGTTAAATTTATTTTAGAAATTATTGATAGTTTTTAACTTTATAATTAATTAATTGTTTGTTATTTGTCTTCCTGTTAGGATGGACCTGGGACATTAGCTCAAGTTGGGGCCGATCTGTTTGTCTACCTCTCTTCATTACAAGTTGTGTATATAATTGTAAATATTAATTGTAACTCATCAAATATGAACTTATAAATTACCTATCTGTATTGGTATTTATATAGAAGGGTACATTCATATTTTATTTTTATTTTATAACAGAAAAACTTCAATTTTTTTTTTTTTTAACAAATTAACCTATTTGAACAAGGAATTTATTTTTCCTATATCTATTTCAATTAAAAAGAAAAAATCTAAAAAAAAAAAAAATTGAAATTTAATAACAAATGAATTTAGTTAGGACACATTTGTATTTTATTAGAATTGTGTATATTTGTTGATAATTGTCTGAAATTACCTCAACCGCAGATATGACATAATAGAATGAAGTAAAGGTGTGTGTGTTTCTGTGTGTGAGTCTGTGTGCAAAAGTATATAATAGAATTTTGTGAGATAATATGTGTTGTACCTTTGTAGAAACAGTTGCCTCATGTAATAACAAAACGTATATATTTTTTTATATAGCCTACTATTCTATCTACTACATAAGTACGTTAATTGAGGAGACTTACATGCTACCTATATATGTATGGCATATATACATGTATGTATGTCTAATTATTGTTAGCTAGAATTAGCTTCTATTTAGTAGAAATATGTTTGACTGTTTGTATCCATGTCTTGACGGGTATCTATTTGTGAATAGTTGATAACTACTTAACATTTATCGTCTACACATATTATACAAATATTTATGTATTTGTATAATAACTCTAATTATTTCTTCCAAATATTGTAACATTTACTGGTCTGGGTAGTTTTCGATTGCAGTTCTAAGTATTATTGAGGAAAGAAGGTAAATACGCCTTTTACTTCTATTTTAATATTTGTTATCTTTTATTTCCACATCTTGTGGATATTTTATAACTTTTCTGACTGGTCTTTTCCTTCTTTTTTTTTTGTATCTACGTTGCCTTCGGTTTTTGGAGACTGAGAGGTATATTTTGGTTCCGATTGTTTATCTCTAACTTTCCTAAGTATTTTTAATATTGTATATGTATGTGGTTGATTGTGTAACTTGAGGAGATGGTCTGTGATCGTTCAGAAAAATTGCTAATTGTTTAACTAAATGTCAATGTTTCTACCCTCGTAGATATTCATTAGGGCTATAAAGATGAAACCATTGTAGGAATAAAAGAGATATTTACAATTACTGATGTAAATATGAATATACAAAATCGGAAATATTGATATACTGTCGTAATAGTAGTTGATAAGGTATTACTTGGTCACTTGATCAGTTGTTCATGAGGCTATTTTACGTATTTCTTTTTTGATTATTATATCAAATATAATTGTTTTGATACCCTTAACCTTTATTATTTCTAATTTTGTATATTCATGTCAACGTTTGTATTTCTATGTAATATTTTTACTCCTGCAATAGTTTCGCCTTCTTTGCATCGTTTATTCATTCTATATAATTGTATATTAGTTTTGGAAAATTGTCTGTAGCGATTGATAAGTATGCTGTGTTTAAAGCAACCCAATGTAATTGGGCAGCACCCTTTTATGATAATAAAGTGTTTCTCTCTCTATTTTTAGCCTTCATAAAGGTTTACAACATATGTTGAAATGTCGTTATTGAAAATATAATTAGCTAATACTTAATGTTTTTCTGACCGACTGTAGGACCATCTATGTCAGTTATTATTATTGTCTCTCTCTTGTCTGAATGGTGAAGTTTATTGTAGCTTAATCAACTTTATTGTTAAGTGGTATTTGGCCATTTTGAATACTGTAAAATATTGAAATGAGCATCGTCGATTCTGATATGATTTGTCTTCCATGTTAGAATTTAGAATATTGCATAAGTCACATTTCTTAAAATAGTTATTCTTTCTTTAATTTAATTATAAAATTCTTTCAACAATTGAAGTAAGTAGAGCTGCAATAAAATGCTGTAAACCATTAGATCTCAATGTAGATATTGAGTTTTTATTTTTTTTTCATAAATTAATTTTTCAACAAAAATTTTCATTAAATTAGGATTTCTATTTTGATTTTATTAGCTTAGTTTGTACTATGCCTATAATATAAAATTTAATATTTGTTTCATTATTAAGCGATTAATTTTTTCATATTTTTGTTTTAACATTATCTTCATTGACGTCAAAGTAGAACTATTGATGCCTAGGTCTGTTTTATTGTCAAATTATAACCTGATTTTGATAACTTTTTTTTCTTATCTGGGACACCAACTTATTTTTTACTTGAAATGTCTGTAATCAGTGTGTAATAATTCTTACTTATCAAGCTTTACTTATATCTAGTTGCTGATAAAATCCCATTGTGATTAGGAACTAATTATTTGCTATACTTCCAGCTATGTACTAACGTATGTATTAATTAATTTTTATTGTTGTTCCATAAACAATTTTAATTGAAAATGGAAAAATAAGCAGCTCAACTATTGTAAATTTAAAAATGCTGTATTTTCTTTCCTTAAATTCCAATAGGTCATTGCTCACTTGATAATTCTGCGTCTTGGCTGAAATTTGGTTATAATTACATTTCAAAACTTTGAAACATGTGCCACAGGATCACAGGACATGTGTTCCACTTAAATAGATTTGTCTGTATCACTAAGTATTTTTCTTTAAAGATACATTTGACTCTTTTCATAATTTTGTAAATCATCGTCACCATTACCATCGTTACAGAATACATTCCATATTGTATGAAATCAACACTTACTATTCCAATAGGCATTGTCAATAAATGAAGGGATTTATATCAGTTTAATTTTTTCTCTTGAAAGGTATTTTAACTCTTTTCTTTTGAGAAGTCCAGCTGACCTTGACTAAGTCACCTTTCTTTGTATTTCCCCCTCCCCCCCATTGTTTAAAACTTGGTTAGCAAGATCTCCCCTGCTTCCTTGATATCTTTCATTACTGTGTTTCTTAATGAACAAGCAATATTAATGTTGATGTTAATGCGTAAAATAATTTAAGATTTGGGAGAAAACACCTGAATACAATAAAAGCTATGGTGGTAGGTTTGATTTCTAGAAAGAAGTTGGTTTAAAAATTGTTACCGATCCCCGAGTAGAAATGACAGGATACATATGTAGTGTTTTTATAATGTGGAAGTCTCGCCTCTGATCTATCTTCTATTTGTTGTTCCTATATAACTTACCTAGTGTATGTAGTGTTCGTAGTTCTATTATCTGTGTAGTCGTATTGTTCTGTTGATATTTATTACTGTAGGAACTGTTAGAAAAAAAAAATTAAAAAGCTCTATATAAAACTAAAAAAAAGAAAAAAAAAAAAGACTTAACACATAGTACAAACTAAAAAGGACACGTAAATTTTTATAATATTGAATTTTATATTGACCGTCGAGTGCAATATATGGACATAGACGTGCTCCGCAATATGTACCCATTTTATATGATGCTATTCCCATCTGTTTTTTGTAAAGATAGCTCAAGCCCAAGTAAATTTACTACCTAAAGAAATAGGTATGTTCTTTTAAAATATATTATTTTATGTTGTTTTATTTTTTCTTTTGTCTTAAAAAATTACTGTTTTAATTACTTTTTTTTATATAATTGTTTTAGTTATAAATATATTTTATTAATGAGAATTTTTTTCTTGTAATAGAAATTATGTAACTGATATATAGAGTCGTGTTGTATAGTCGAGGTGTTAAGCAGTGAAAAGTGCCTGATTGATGTAGATTTAAGTTTTTCTAGTAGATAAGCGAAGTTTAACACTCACATACAAACGACATCTTATGTTGTGAACATCTGTTATGCGTGTTGTCACTTAAACAACTTTTAGTATGGTTGTTTGTAGTTTTTAACTGTGGTTCTTTTATTTTTTAAATTTAATTATTACAAATAATTATTAATAAAGTGTTATGCTTTTTTTTTTTAATATGTTTTTGTTGTAACAAATTTCTAACACGGTTATTATTGTAGTTTAATTGTTGATTAAATTGAAAGAGTTGTACATTAATTCTTAAGAAATGGGTTGGGCTATTATGTCATAGAGTGAAGCAATCACATTTCAATTAGTTTTATTTTTAATTAATTATTACTCACACTGATTGATGTGTAATCCAAATTTGTTAAAACAGGCAGAGCAGATAAAAAATATTAGAGACAAAAAGAATGAATTTTTACGAAGTTTTAGAAAGTGCCAAAATTGTTGTAAATATTTTAAAGTTAAGTGCTCATTTGTTTCCTGAGTGAGGTATAGAGTTATCAAAATATTTACAGAGCTCCACAGATTCAATACCAAACCAGATGTTTTTATATCGTTTCTCTCATATTATAGTTTATAGATTATTTTTTTAAGAATATTTTTTAAATGATGTGGAAAGGGAAGTGGAAAATTCAAAATATAACGATTAATGATTGTATGTTCTTTAAGTTGAAATATGAAAATTTTTATTTGTTATTACAGTTGTGGTTTGTAGAATTTGTATTTTATCAATGACATTTTGCTGCTATATTTTCTGGATTTTAAAATTAGCACCCTCTGTTAAGTTATTATTTTTTCATGGATCACTGATATTAATAACTCTAAATCTTTTATCACATACATAATTTTTCAGTTTGTCTGAGTGATCCAGAGATAGAAGATTTAAAAATAAATTCATTACAATGAGGTGTTGAATTTTAAAAAGTTTTTTTTTTTTTTTTTGGATAAATATTAAAGAAATTTGTAATCAGAATTATACGAAGGAAAAACAAAGTTTGATAATTTTGTCTTCATTAACAAAATGAAAACATTTTTAAATCTCCTTTAACTTCATGAACATATTGCTTGGAAAAGAAAATTAGTCAATTAAAATAAATGATTCTTAACTTCTGCAGCTTCCTGATGATTTCTGATCGTGGAATAATAATATTCCATTATTCTACATTCTAATAAAAAAAAAGAAGCAAATTGACTCAAAAATGCTGAGATAAACAACTTTGGATATTTTCAATGGATCAACTTTGAGATATTAAAAGATAGAATAAATTGAGTATTATACATCTAAATGATTATTTCATAATATAGGCCAAGTACATTTTGGCAAAA